TACAAGAATATAAATATTGGCAATTTTTACAGCGAATACAGATAAAACTTAGAGACGTAGCATTGTTTTTGAAAGGGGCAGCCAGAAAAAAAAAGCTTACCTAAAAATCTTGACAAGCAAAAAAACAAAAACAAACAAACAAACAAACAAAAAGAGAAAAATTCTTCAAACTCGAAAATTCCATTTGGGGGGAGGGGGGTCCAACTTCTTTCAGTACCAGATTTTACTCATACGTCACTACGTACATGTACATGGCCCTTATTTGACTAAACTACAACAAAAGGTGGGAGGGGGTCAACCAGACTTTCAGTGAACATTTTCAGTAGTAAAAAGTTATGGCTAGAAAAATGTTTGGTGGCCAGCCCCCCCCCCCCCGCTACCGGTGTCATAGTGAGACTTACCACATAGTGAGTCTTCCCCCCGGAAGTCTGGCTATATACATGTAGTGAGACTTACCTTCCGGGGGGGGGGGGGGGCAATGACTATATAGTGAGCCTTCCGCCCTAACCGACCATAGTGAGACTTCGATTTTATTTACATCGACGATGTATATATTGCATATTTAGGTAATGATCTTATATATATATCAAAAAAAGATGAATAGTTTCAAATGAATCAATATAAAAGTGCGCATTAAAAATTTATCGTGCACAACAGATTATAGTATTGTTCCGAGACGATTCTTATCAAAAGAAAAAAAAACATAATTAGTTTAACAGTAAAGAGGTCATTACCCGTAGAAACGTGCAGTTTACCTATGTTTACCTGCACGGTTAAGAAGTTTTAATTATAAAAATCACTATTAAAATGTTTTAATTATTTATTCATATATTTATTCATTCATTCATATGAGACGGATAACACTGAAACACTGAAAACGTTAGTATAAAAACATTGTTTTACAATAAAAAAAATATTCGGAAACTAAATCATGGCCGTAGGAACCGGGGGAGGGGGGGCAATAATTTTGCCGACATATAGAGTAATATAGAAAATATAGCTACTATATGCTTGTGCACCCTCAATAATAACGTCTGATGACCTTTTTTTCTTTCTTTTTTTTTTTTTTTTTTTTTTTGCTTGTCAAGGAATTTTGGTAGTTGATAGTGCCCCCCCCCCCAACTGAAAATGTATAGTTGTGCCCCCTCAAAGTTGCTTCCTACGGGCCTTTACATTAAAGGGGGAAGTTTCGCTATGAAGAGGATAGACTGACTATATAGTGAGACTTTCCCCTGGAGAAGTCTCACTATATAGCTAGTCTTCCGGGGGAAGTCTTACCATCTAGGCAGCCTTCAGGGGGAACGACACCGGGTACATGTCTGAACCTATAACATACATATTTGAAAATTTGGGTTCGATTGATAAAGTATTAAGGCAGAAATTTGAAAAAATCTCGAATAACCTCGGCCCGGGTTTGTGTACCTAATTTTACCAACACTCGCAGCGAACACCCTGCCACCTAGCGTTATAATGCCGAATTAAATTCACACTACTTGTATTCGTCTTCGTTGAATGCGCTTCATGGTTTGCGTGACTGAATTTACATTTGTAATAGAGATGATCATAATTATTTATTAAAGAAACTGTATCAATTTAAAAGAAAGAAGAACGAATTTACAAGAATAAAGCAACATAGAAGTAAGGACAAAATGAATAATGAAAAAAAGTTCAAAGTGAAATTTAATAAAGACGAATATGAAAACAATAAAGTGACATATAGTTACAGTAATAACAAAGAATAAAGAAGAAGGCAGAATAAGAATAAAAGCAGGATAAATAGACTTTTGGCGGTAATTCCCTTCCATAGTGCACTGTGTCATGTGCAACATGAATATATTTGCTTTAATGGTTGGAACCTGAACCATTTTTAAGATATTTAAACAGTTATTAAATGAAATGGGTTATATCGATGACCCCGGGGATACTTGCCCAACAGAACACTTTAAGTATTATTCACCAGAAGTCGGTGTTAATTCTGTGTATGTATGATATGAATATTGGTATGTAAAAATATGGAAATATTGCAAACAAATTTTCAGACTTTTTTTCTTTGTTAACTTAATATTTTGGGTTAAATATTATTTGCTAAATATAGCTATAGATATGAAATACATAATAATTAACACTTTTGATAAATAATTTTGTTTTACAACAGATAAATGTCTTCCATGAATAAATGTTCATATTTGTGAAGAAATGTTTTGTTCATCTCAATACAAAAGAAAGATTTTATATATAATTCAAAATATCTCATATGTAGCATTTAGTGATACAACTATCAAGAAACGTATCTATATAGAAGTTGTACTATTCCAGCCCTACTCTATTGGTGTGTACTTATAATAAAAATGTATCTTTGTGAGTAGTGTTTTGAAGGAATTTTAAAGAAAGGAGATGGGCGAACATAACGAGCGAAAAGCCTATAGTGTGACAAACATGAAGGTGAAAAATTAAATTTCTATTATATCAAAATTTTCCTTGATATTTCATCTAACATTAAAATATACTTTAAGTAAAATCTCTACAATTTGCAAAAAATCTCTCAAAGATTGAAATTATTTGCCTTTGAAATATTATAAACACACTAAAGCGGGCAAAAAGAGTCATTTTCTCATATTATAACACTATTTTTCGATATGAGTGGGTCTCCGCTCCACTTTTTTGAAAGTTAATCCTCAAAGTTTGCATAAATATATACAATTTTTGTTTACCAAAAATATGGAGCAAAGACCCATTATATCTTAGAAATATACTTTTATGACACAACATTCGCCCCTTTTCGAGAAATACTTGAAGTCCATTAAGTCAAGGGTCATATCACAAACATGATTTAAATGCTGCTCTTCATCAGGACTTGTGTAGTCTAGTAGTTAGAGTGCTAGTCTCGAAAGAAAATTATACTCAGGATTTTTTGCTAGGGTTCGAACCCCACGAATACCACATTATTTTTTAAATAAAGGAATAAATTTTGCCGAGAAAATTTTCCTCAGAAAAGTTTTCTTTATCATAATTTCATAAATTTCAATAATGAGAACTTTAAATACTAAATTCACAAATTGAACATGATTTTTATATATCTGAAGCTATAGGCTTTGTGCATGCTATGTTCGCCCATCTCCTTTCTATTTTCAGTAACCATGGCAACATATTTTTTGAAATCAAAAACCTATATATATAATTTGTATCTTGGTATAGTCTACTTGAATACCAAGACAATAAAATCAGGCCAAAACTGTTGAATGAGTAACATTTTGAAAGAATTTCAAAGGAATTTCTATTTTAAGTAACCATGAGAACACCGTTTCTCAAAATCAAAAACTGTTGTACAGTATAGAATTATCTAGTTTAGTCTACTTCTACTCCAAGTCGTATTGAAATCAGACCAAAACTGTAAGAGGAGAAGCATTTTGAAAAAAAAATCAAAATGGTCTCAATTTTAAGTAACCACAACAATACTTGAAATAAAAAACTGATGAATCTTACAATTGTCTACCTCTGTACCATGTCTTATTGAAATCGAACCAAATCTGTTGGAGGAGTAGCATTTTGAATAAATTTCGTAGAAACTTCTACTTTTAGTATCCCTGTCAACATCGTTCGTCAAAATCAAAAACCAATAAACATAGGCTAATTGTGCACCAAGTCTTATTGAACTCGAACCAAAATTTATTATAATCATTTGAAAATACATATCTTGTAGAATCAATTGATGTTTTTGTATTTTATTTGACTATTCTGTTTTAATTCTCTTTCTCCATGGCACCTGATCCCACCTCTGATGTTTGGAGGTCCGTGTTTGCTCTGCTCCTATTTTGTATTGCTTACTGGACTTTTGAGCTTGAATACTGTTCGTTATCTCCATATATTTCATGAGAGTGTTATAAAGGTACTTTTCAGATCACTTTACTAACCCATTATTAAATTTAGGTTGAATTACCGATATCAGAATTTAAAAAAAAATGACCATATTTTGCTTTTGTTTCTTTGATAGTTTCATTAGTAATCAATAAAAGTAAATCCTTGTAAAGTAACTATATATTCATTTACTGGTTTGAAATATTTTTCTTGAAATAACTTATTCTTCAATGACGGGAAATAAAAACGTATTTTTGAACAAATGTGAGTAAAAAGTTAATCTTTTAACATCCATCGCAAAGACTCGGAATCTCGAACTGTAGTATTAAATCATTTGGTTTAATTTCTTATATCTTGTGTGGAATAAACAGATATAACAAAACATACAAATATGATTCTACTAGTTTACTTATTGTAGTTTTTTCATGTTTATAGATATATAGCTTATACACAGTAGCTATTGTTCTGAGGTAATAAATATACAGGAATGAAGAAAAACTCATAATGAAAAATGCATGATAAAAAGATGAGTATATCCTATTTTAATATCATATACATATATTGTGATATGAACATCCTTTGGCGATTTTTTGATGTAACAAACCTGAATTATAAATTACATAAAAGCAGACTAGAGTGTTAATTATAATTATTTCACTTCTACAAAGGGCAATTAAAGAGGTAAATCTTACGTATTTGAGTAACTTAAAATGGTACATGTCAACAAAATACGTATAACTACATTTACTGAGGTAATTATACAGCAGTATATAATTTAGGATTTATTGAAAACCATGCTCTAGTAAATGGCAACAATTGTTAAATTCCCTGTAAGTAATAACAATAATGAAAGGGCCACTAAGAAAAATCATAGGGGCTCGGTTTCAGGACAGTGTCTCTAAATACACTGATTATAATAACAATCGACAATAGCTAAATTAACATTTTTTGTTAAGTTTTTTTAATCATATATCAATGAACATAAATAAAACACTGATTTTTTTTTTTTTTTTTTTTTTTTTTTTTTTTTTTTTTTTGAAACTGTTAATTTTAGTCATTTCTGATTTTTATAATAATCAGTGTATTAAGACAAACATGGAAAAACACACAATTCACAGAATACACCATCCTGAAGTCGAGCGCATATGCGAAAAAATAAGAGCGTTTAATTTAAAACTGTTTATGAACCATAAACTTATTTTCAGATAAGATCAAACTCGGCTTTGACGGAGACCTTGTTTGTAGTATCGAAATCCTCCACTTTTATTTCCGTCTGTCCAAAGTATACTTTTGTTTCAAAGTTCACTAGATCTGGCCATCCTTCCACTGGAGGTTGGTTGGTAATTTTCCCTATCGATTTTATTCCTTGATCTGTGACGTATGTAAGCCCATCCTTCTTAATATTTTTACCAGCATATATTTCTTTTCGAATTGGTATTTGTTTTCTATCCGCTTGCTTATGACTGCTTTTGGAGATGGAGACTTTAGGTTCATCGTACTTTACCCTGTCTCCTTCGTGAACGAGAACATCAAAGATGTCTTTGCAGACCACTTCACCGTCTACAATATCTCGCTTCTCTTTGGGATGGATTGATTCATCAAAATCTTGCAGAACACCAATGCCATAAGTATATCGGCATATTCGGAATTTAACTTCCTCTGGATGATATCCAAACATGACTGCTCCCTGAAGCACAGCTAAGCCTGGTTCCTTTGGACAACAAAATTTTATTTTTGAGAAGTCAGAATGGGATTTTATTTGTTCACATAGATATCTAGAACAGGAAAATCCTCCAACGAGAAGAATTTGATCCAAATGCTTCACCTTTCTCAGAATTCTTTTTATCAAGGATATAATTTGAATCTTGGCTTCTTCAAAAAATTCCTTGAATTTTGAGTTTTCTACGTATAAATGATCAAAAGTAACGGAATCTTTCACCGATATTTGTCCAAACATTTTTAATCTACCTGGTAACTTTAATCGAATATTTCCATCCGGAGCATTACTGATTTGTCTTTTTTGCATTTCAAATTCCCTTTCCATATCAAATGCATCTCTTGGAGCACATTCCCATAGCTGTTGTAGACAGGATTCGCTATTGAAGACAATTTTGATATATTTTTCGAATTCTTTATCAACCGTAGTTCCTCCCCAATCACCACCAGAAGCTTTATAAACTTCTGCTAGTCTGCCATCTTCTAAAACATCATGGACCACAACATCAGCTGTTCCTCCTTTCAAATGAAGAATTATAAATGATAGGAAAACAAAAAAAATTCCCTTTATTTTCATTAATAAACACTAAATTTTGATAATTTTATATTCCTTTTTAACAGAATATATTGCACTAAAATCTGTAATTTGATTTATTCCACAAGTCAAAGAACTGGACACTTTGTAAAAATTATCAAAGTTTCATTTATTGAAAGTTATCTTTAAGCCACAAAATAATTTTCGATTACCTCCAAGATCCAAAACCATGTATCTTTTATTTGGTTTAAATGTTTCTGTTAGTGTTTGATCTGGTAGAGATTTACAATACATTGCTGCAGCCTCCGGTTCTAAAGCAATCAAAAGTTGCGCCTCTAGAATTCCAGCCTTCAACAGAAAAAAAAATGAATGATTAACAGAAAAAAAAATGAATGATTACTTTTCAGGTCTATAAAAAATTTATGGTCTATTTAAAAATCATCTAATCGGTCGAAAAATATTTATTGATACATAAATTACTTAACGTAAACAATAGTAGAAATTACAGTAAATTTCCGTCATTGAAATACATAAAATTCTTGATTACCTTTAATGCAGCCTCTTTCATGAAGAGTTTTGCAGATTGTTTCCAAATTGCAGGCACTGTTATCACATACAAAATGTTGTTTTTGTCAAATGTTAGGGACCTGTCTTTTATTGTTGTTTCAAAGTGAACCTTCAGAGATTGAATAGCCCATGCAAAAATTTCTAAAGCTGGAAGTGAAAGCCTACCAGAGTCATCCTTGATTTCTATATTGCGTTGGACATTCTGTAAAATAACAAAGCATTAAAGGGTTGAATTCTCTTATCTTTTAAATGAAAAATAGGATTAAAGAAAGAATGGAAGAATACTTACTGTTTCCCTATACAGAACCATTTTGAAGTTTCTGAATCGATACCAATCTTCGTTGTTCTTTTTGCAGACCTGCTGCGCATAAAACTCCTCTGCCTCGTATCCAAAAGAATGAAAAGACTTATTTTTGGAAACAAGGACTGTAGTAGGTGCTTTGGCCTTCGGATCTGGAACCATGTTTCCCGTCCATTGGTTCAGGGAGATCGATTTTGTGTTTATTTCCTTCCTGTCACAATATGCATACCCAGAATAGCTTGTGCCAATATCAAAAGCGACCACAATATCCCAAACATTGCGCAGAGACATTTCCGAAACTTGAATTCCGAATTTCAAATTTGTTTCCTCTGGGTCCATTTTTAAACGAAGACCTGCAGAAGAATGTCATTGTGTATGATTTATGCCCTGATTATGATATTATCAATTAAAGATAAGATTTTATGGGAGTTCACATATTGAATTATTGTGTAGATCTTGAAATATGAGATGATGAGATAATTACACCTTTAAATACTTTGCAAATGTAGCTTAGCATTCTTATTCTATCGAGTTATCATTCCCCGACTTTCATACGTTAGATCCGATGAAAGTGTATACAAATATACATTCTCTGTAACAAAGATTTAAAGTATATATACCCGCTTTGAGACATTATGTTTCCTAATAAATTGAATATAACGATAACACTTACTCCGATTATCTTCAAAGTTGATCAAATATCGCAGCTGGGTAAATCCTTCATTCTGTTTTAAAAGTCGGTTGTAAACAATCGGTATTTTTAACTTTACTTGCATGTTTAGACACATTTTTCTCTTACCGCGTTTTGTAAGTGCGCTATTTTCGTATCTTGAAAGAAAACTATTTTGATACCATTTCTCTTCATTTATGAGAATTTTAACTCTTGTCGAATTTTTATTTGAATGTGGACTCAAAAGAGGATACATAATTTTAATTTTATTGATTAGATAAAATTGACATTTCCTTTTTATTAGATTCTTTAAGTTTGCAACATGGATGAAAAACATACAGCAATACCTTTAAAATGTATTTTAATTCTTCTGTAAAGACTGTCGGTGTGCATCAATACTGAGGATAATTTGTACTCGTTTTGAACTGTCAATTTTTATTATATGAGATGTACATTTTCACGAATGGAAAATAATACAATATTCTGAATACTCTCCATATTGTTTTCTTAATATGTATTTTAATTTCAAAAGTGTGCCAGAATTTAGCACTATCAATTTTTATATTTCTTTTTTTTACATTGAACTTAGAAAAGATTTAAAAGGAATTTGAACTATGATTATTTAGAACATTTGCACTACTATAGAATGCCTTCATATATGAATATAACATTATGGTTGTGCTTTTTTTGAGAAGACTCTTTAAAAAAATATTTGTCCAATATTAAAATATATTCCAATGTAAAAATTTTATTCCCTATTGTGGCCTTACCTTATAACCCGGGGACCATGATTTCATTTTGCACTACCCAAGAATGTTTCCATATAAAGACGATTCATGGCCCTGTCGTTCTCGTGATGTTAAAAAATTACTTGTATATTGCCATGAAAAAACTTTTATCCTATATTGTGACCCCATTCAACACCCGGAGGCCATGATATCCCCTTGAAAGAGGGCATGCTCTCGTTGGAACAAAAATGAATCCCTAGCTGTATTGAAATTGGTTCCGTGGTTTTTGAGTACAAGTTGAACATGTGAAAGGAGTTATACGAATCATATTACAGCCTCATCAGCTTAATTCCTAGTATTATTACCAGACATTAATAAGGAACTTATATGGGTTTTTTTTAATTAAAAAAATCAGTTTTGGAATTAATTCAGAGACGAAAATGTTTCCATTTATGAAATTTTGAATTGAAAAATTGTAACAACATGTTCATTAAGAAATTGATAAATGCTTGCCATTTATAAATTCCAAGACTCAGATCCATGTGGATAACTTCCTATTTCTGTCTTTGTGTACTTATTATTATTTTTGTTTTTTTTTTTGTTTCTTAAAATGTTTCCTTTGGTTGCTACCTGAATGACAAGAATGACTGAGAGGATCTGTCTCTTTTAAAATCATCAAAGAATGTGAAAGTCAGAACATTTCATGAAGCTGAATTATAATCATAACATGAACAAGATATAACGTTAAGTAATGTATCAAATTCAAAATATATTAAAAGTTCACCTGCTTTAATTAAGCAACATAAAGCAAATATCAAATTCATATCACCTCCTTTATTTTGTATTCCAACCGTTATCTTATTGTAAATGCACTGAAGTATTACGTTAGATTACTTTAAAAATATTCGTAATGACAGACTACAAATCAATATTGAAAACATACATGTATGTTATCGATTTTTAAGGACATTTTTACATTAATTCAGACTGCTCTCAAATTTGTGGAAAACCATAATTCTTAACAGTAGTTTTCCGACCTAACTAATAACAAGAGAAGCTTGTAACATTCAGTGAAGGCATTAAACCTTATGTTACAGACGTAAAGTTACCACTGTAACAGGTGTCCTTTGATAGAGTGTTTGTTTTCACGAAGTTGCTACAATGTAATATTGCTAATGACAGTGTCACATTGACAGATGCCAGTAATGGAGGGCTGCTGGATTATCTTTCTCTTGATCTCAATTGCTACATGCCTAAAAGGTAAGTTTGTTAGGAGATATTGACACATTTTCTGCTATCCAATGCCCACCAAAATATTTAATTCTGTACAAAAACAATTTAAGTATGCATCATTTAAAAAGTAACTTACCAATATGAATTTTTTTTTGTTGCAAGATAACACAACCTATTTAGAATTAGCAGATCTAAATCGGCCAATAATAAAAATATTTCTCATATCATGCATATATATTTATGAACTGGTTTTCAGGTGTCGATGGACTGGATTTGATGTACAACTCGTCGAGTGTTGGATTGTGTGTACACACGATTCTGGATGCAACACTAACTCTGAATTTACAAAATGAACAAAAAACAAGAGACGTGCCTCTAACAAGTGCAAGGGTAACCGCTGGAAGTTGCAAAGAGAGCAGCTCTGAACTGCATTTAGTTCTTCAGGGGTCAAACTCCCTTAATATCAATTTTGCAAAAGCAAACGATGGCACAGTGTCCGTTTCATACAAAGTTATGCACGAAAGACAAGGTAAGGCGAATCTGCGGAAATTCAGACTAAGAGATAACACTCAGATGACAATTTAATAATGATGAAGGTTCGACTGAACCCGTTTTCTGTAGGATTAGCCGAGACGATTTGTGAATCACACTCTGGGTTAAGTTTTTGACGAATCACTCTAGGTTAACTTTGTTAACTTGACCTTAATTAAACTAGGGTGATGGTTAGTGGGAATTTTCCAAATGTACAGCCAATTGAAAAGAACAAAATATTCACGACATCTTAAGATAATTTGACATAATTAATTTGATTCAAGCAAGATTGTGATTTGTAAACAACCAATACTAGAAGATGATAACTTATTAAAATTTTTAAAGATTACACTTGTCATTGAGTCACCTGATTAACATTACGAAAGTTATCAAATCTTCAACACTGCTGTAACTGCAACGTTAACAGTAAAGGAAGTATAATCTTGAGGCGTATTTTTAAATCTTCTTACAGTAAAATAATTTTGATTATCAAGTGGTCAATTGCTATGTGTAAGTGTAGGGTAAAATAGTCATGTTGAGACGAATTTTCATTGAAATGTGTGTTCAAAAGCTTTTAATCGATCCATTTTTAATGCAATGTTTCCATGGTATTTTAATCCTCGTTATATATTGATTTGAGAGATATAGAGTTCTATAATGACATCTCATAACATGAATCCATGAATAGATTATAAAAAAAAAAAATCAATGATATGTATTTATTTTTTCAAAGATGAAAAAATGATATCTTGTTTATTTCAACAGAACCCAGAGTAGTCATTTGATTTATCTTATAAGATGTAAATGCACAACACCCTTTCTTACATATATTTTATTCTATGATTTATTATTATTAATTTTTTTAATTTATATATTAACATATAAAAAACATGTATTTAAAATATAAAACAGAAATACCGATGCTTTTTATCTTGAAAATCTCTTTTTTATGCTCGGGTTGAACCGCCAACAAACTTCTTTACATAACTTTTTTTTCTCTTTTCTGGAAAAAATGTAAACTTATATGATGAATATAGATGAAAAAATTCTTTCGCGTATGTCGTCCGTGCAATTCTTTTCTTATATGTTTAATTCATTAAATAATTACCAAATATTATGCAAACAACACTCATTCCTTTAATTTTCTTTATATTTTTGTTATAAAAGCCACTGGCCGATCTGAGGTTTCAGGAAAAGTTTCAACTCAAATACATGTATCATCTTAATCAGCATATTTATTATCTTCTAGCATTGTATGCAATAATTAAATTTATGCTGCTGTCTTAATCAATAAGAAATATTTACAAATTTTATGCACATACATTATACAAAATAAAAATAAAATTAAAAAATTAAAGAAAAAATTTATAAGATTTTAAAAAAAAAAATTAATATAAGAAAATAAAACAAAAAAGCAAACTAACATATTAACAGTTTATATGAAGTAAGTTAGATTTAATGTCATCTTTTAATGGTTTGTATCAATGACTCTGCTTTCAGATAAGACATCTATAATTCTTGAGAGTGAGCCTATGTCCCTTTCCGGAGCAGACGAGGTTTACAAGTGTAGTGTTATCGACGCAGTTCTTCTACACGATGACTCGGGTCAAAATTTTGGAACATTGTTTATATCTAATGCTACAATACAAGGTTTCGGCATTCAGAACGGAACATTTTCCGAAAAAGGTATCGTTGATGGTGAAAATAAAATCGTTCAATTCAATGAATTCGGGCCTTTTATACACAAAAAAAGTTAAATTGAAAAACATATAATTTTGATAAATTTGACGGGTTTCATTGCCATTAAAATCGTGATATTGAACAAATTATGTAGATAACCATTTTCTGATTTCAGTGAAGACATGCTTAATAGACAACTCAAATTCCACTATGCAACCCCAGACACTCAATCAAAATGAAGATGTTACGGGTAAAATAAAACAATTTGAGTTGAGGGATGCAAGCGGTAATGTCTGCATTAGACTTAGTGGGACGCTACAGTTACTGAGTCTGTATGAGAAGAAAGATGGTAACATGGCAAGTAGTCATTGACATTTTTATGTAGTTCTGAATAACATTTTATTAACCTTGCGCAGGAAAAATATATTATTTCCTATATGCTTTTTAATTTTATATTCTAATAGTTCTTTAATTACACAGACCAGTGTAACACTTGCTGTTCCGAACACGGCCGTTGTGAGTGGATTTTGTGTTAAGGAGAAATCTTACCTGGTTTTGCGATATAAAGAGGGAGGCTCAATCAGAGCGCTAGCTTTCTACTTCAGCAACAAGGAAAATAGAACAACTTTGGAAAACATAGAAACTATCATCAAATTAGACACTGCCAAATTTCCAGACGCCAAACTTGCCAATGGTATGAAGTTAAAAAAAAAATCCCTTGTCTGGTAATACAAAGAGGGAAAATGAATTAGATTCTTAAGTTCATGGATAAAATTCAATCTAATTTTGTTATGAACATTTGTAGTGTTATGTTTATGAATATCGAATTTAGACAATAAGATTATCCTTGAAGTGTACTGACCACAGTATGTTTCTGTTTAGATGTTCTTCGGTCGTATGGAAGAATTGGTGTACATCTGGGATCAGAGAGCAGCTTCTATGGATGTCAACACGAGAAAGAATTTCTGGGAAACGACTTCATTCTTAAAACAAGGCACCTAAAAGTTCAAACATCAAATACTGGTGTTCCTGAAAAATTTTCCGCAGCAAGTAAGTTTTTCTCGATAAATTGTATTGGGCAAACAGTAAATTTAGATCCTATTGAGAAATGGAACCTTTTATTACTCTTTTATAGCTCACCTGAGCTGAAAGCTCAAGTGAGCTTTTCTGATCACCTGTTGTCCGTCGTTTGTCCGTCTGTCTGTCTGTCCGCCCGTCCGTCTGTAAGCTTTTCACATTTTCAACTTCTTCTCAAGAACCACTGGGCCAATTTCGACCAAAATTGGTACAAAGCATCCTTGGGTAACGGGGAGTTTAAATTGTTAAAATGAAAGGCCAAGCTCCCTTATAAGGGGAGATAATCAAGAAAAGACAAAAACAGGGTGGGGTCATTAAAAAATCTTCTTCTCAAGAACCAATGGGCCAGAAAAGCTGAAACTTAAATGGAAGCATCCTTAGGTAGTGTAGATTCTAAATTGTTCAAATCATGACCCCCAGGGGTAGGGTGGGGCCACAATGGGGAATCAAAGTTTTACATTGAAAAATATAGGGAAAATCTTTAAAAAAAATCTTCTTCTCAAGAACCAGTGGGCCAGAAAAGCTGAAACTTACAAGGAAGCATTCTTGGGTAGTGTAGATTCTAAATTGTACAAATCCTGACACCCGGGGGTTGGGTGGGGCCACAATAGGGAATCCAAGTTTTACACTGAAATATATAGGAAAAATCCTGAAAAATCTTCTTTTCTGAACCACTGGGCCAGAAAATCTAAAACTTACAGGAAAGCATTCTGGGGTAGTGTAGATTCTAAATTGTTCACATCATGACCCCCGGGGGTAGGGTGGGGTCATAATGGGGAATCAAAGTTTTACATTGAAATAAATTGGAAAATCCTTTAAAAATCTTCTTCTCAAGAACCAGTGGGCCAGAAAAGCTGAAACTTACATGGAAGCATTCTTGGGTAGTGTAGATTATAATTTGTTCAAATCATGACGCCAGATAAGAGATCACGATCGATGTAATATGGTATGAAAATTCGTTGAAAGTACTACATATAATAATGGACAAAAAATTGAATCTCAGAATATTATGTGGTTGCATGTATGTTTGATTTGTCGACATAAAAATGAAATTGAAAAAAAAATGATATATACTGTAAATCACTTTTTATTCGCGAGAACTTTATTTTCGCGTAATATCGCATGTCTGCTCGCGAAAATGTTATTCTCGCCTATATTTGTATTCTAGAGGATTATATAGACCAGAAACCACAGCTCGCGAAAATTTTGTCTCGCTTATAAATACCAAATAGCTTATCGCGAAAATAAGGTGTCGCGAAAATATAGTGAATCTACAGTATTAGATTTAAAAAAAAAAAAAAAAGAAAAGAAAATTATGGTATAAAGAAACTACAGCAAAATATATAGAACCATGTTCATTAGTCTCAAATAATTTACTACAGCATACTAATATCATTTACTTCTAGCTTGGCGTAATTGTTATGTATTGGACCACTTGAGCAATCTGTCTACATGAACAAGCATGTATTATGAATACTTTGTAAAGATAAATATCAGTGTACCAGCTGTAACAGAAAGTACATGTAATTGATTTTTTCGGACGTTTTATCCGGAAGAGATGTTGTTTCATAAAATGTTACATACATTTAAAGAAATAGTATAATATTTAGCTTAAATAAAGTATGGAATTTTTATGCCCCCGTATTGAAGATTCGGGGGTATATAGTTTTTGCCCTGTCCGTCCGTCTGTCTGTTTGTCCGCAAAAACTTTAACATTGCCCATAACTTTTGATTGTATGGAGCTATGGCTTTCATATTTCACATGTGTATTCCTTGTGATAAGACCTTTCTTTGAGTACCATTATATTTGACCTTTTGATATTGACTTTGGAGTTTGACTCAGTTTTGCAAAATTTTACCGAATTTAAATTTAACCTTGGCCATAACTTTTGAACAATTAGTGCTAGGGCTTTCATACTTCACACGTGTTTTCTTGTGATAAGACCTTTCTTTGGATACCAACAATTGTGACCCTTTGACCTTGACCTAGGTGTTTGACCTACTTTTGAAAAACTATAACCTTGGCCAAACCTTTTGAACAATTGGTGCTAAGACTTTCATATTTCACATATATAATCCTCGTGATAATACCTTCTTTTGGATACCAACAACTTTGACCCTTTGCCCTTAACCTTGGATTACTTTTGAACTGTTGGTGCTAGGGCTTTCATACTTCACTTCAAGACCTTCTTTTGGATACCAACAATAGTAATCCATTGACCTTGACCTTGGAGTAAGACCTACTTTTGAAAAACTTTAACCTTGGCCATAACTTTTGAACGATTGGTGCTACGGCTTTCATATTTACATGTATACTTCTTGTGAGAAGGCCTTTCCTTGGGCACCATTAATTTTGACCATTTGACCTTGGCCTTTATGATTGGCCTAATTTTTGAAAAACTTTTACATTTTCCTTATCTATTCAAAGGTTGCTGCTAGGGCTTTCATATTTCACAGGTATATTTCTCGAGACAAGACCTTACTTTGGGTACCAATATATTTGATTTGCACTTGAGAAAGTTTAACATTTGCTATAAGTTGCCATACGAGGGCATCAGTGTTTCACAACCACATCTTGTTTTTTACTATGTTTGAATTCAAATACGTTTGGTGGTTGTAAATAAGCATTTGAATGCCAAACAAAAATCATCAAATAAGGACAAAAATTATAAATGACCATCTTTAAACACCTGATCCCATCTCTGATGTTTTTCGGAGGTCCGTGATTGCTCTGCTCCCGATTTGTTTTGTTTAAATGGACTTTGTTTGAATACTGTTCGCTATCTACATTTTTCATCATAAGGATTTTAATGTTTATAATGAAAACATACAAATATGACTAGAAAAATGGGCAAAAAGATGGAACAAACCCTTAAAACACACACACACACACACACACACACACATATATATATATATATATATATATACAGTCAGTGTTTTTACATTGAAAGAGTTCTAATTAATATTAATAATATATCATCGAAAAATAATATAAAACAAGAAAATGATGCAGGTTTAAAAACAAAGCTTTTTTAATCAAAATAGGACACGAAACACTCTGTGCCATGTAATAGGTGAATATACTTGTCCTGAAAAAAAAAAGATTCTAAAATAATAAATTATAAATTAACAGATTTCATCAAATTCTACTGCTTGATTTGCACACTTTCGTGTGAAATTTTTTCCTAATTTTCAAAGGAACATTAAGTCTTTTTTTTTTTTTTTTACTTCCAATTTGCTTAAATTGGAAATAATTTTAGTGCGAATACTTTGAATCCCCCGAATATAATTATATTAATTAATTAATTAATATTATTATTAATTGCTTTTTTGCAACATATTTTGGTAAACAATTTTTCGTCATAAAATGAATAATAACACAAAAACAAAGCATTTCAAACCTTGGCCAAAGCCGCCATATATATATATATATATATATATATATATATATATATATATATATATATATATATATATATATATATATATATATATATATATATATACTTGCATCCTTTACACTCTAAACATATTATTTGAATATTACATGTATCAGGAACTGGATGTCCTGAAGACAATGTCAGAATGACGGAAACACAGTTGTTCTCTCTGAAGGACGGAAATCAAAGTTGTCTGCTGTTGTCTGGTGCTTTCCGTATGTCCATTCCCTACGACTCGCGGGAAAACAAGGTACTCTTTACATTCGAAATTTGGGCACTTTCTTTTTCCTAGCCATCATCACTGATGATTAGGTTTGCAGTGACACTGGTTTGTTTATTTTGCAACACTGTTTCAAAGGTGTTGAGATGCTGAATATTTTAATTATTTTTGCAATTTGCTGTGTAGTTGTGGAGCTTCTCATGTGCCGTGTTGAAGCAATATGTATTTTGCGTTGCAGTTCCATAAGCATCTTCGCTAGCCAAATCTCCGATTCCTTTGACCTCATCGCAAGATGTTCCATAAGAAATGTTTCTCGATAATATCACATTGCAGGAGTTACGAATTCTTGAAGTTGTTTCCTTTTTGGTCCTTTTTGAGACGTGCAATTTGCAATCCCTTGGAGAGGTTTTTATAGTACATTCTTAATTTTGTGATGTAGTGCATAGAGGTCCCATTTGAAGGGTACGTGTTGCTTAAACGCGGAACGGATAACGGAATGGAAAATAGAAATAAATTATACATTTTTTACATCAGCTGAAACGTAAATAATGTATATCAAAGGTGATTTGAAGGGGGAATATTCTCTCTTTTCTCTACATACATTTTCATTAGGACTTATGAAAAATCACTAGGAATGGCAAGTTTCACCGTGAGCCATTTCGTATGGTTTCTCGTCGTTAATGGGAAACAAATGTAGCCCATACAAACTTAAGTGATGATTTGCAAATGAACAAAAATGTTCGACATGTAGAAAATTTTAGTTAAGCACTGTTTGATTCAAGATAAATGGCCTGAATGACTCTTGGATGACACCCTGAGAGGTGCTATAATGAAAAATAAACCAAGAACGATTCCTGAATTTCCACTTGGGAAGAAGACAGAATCACAATGTAAATCTGCAAATTTTATTGATTCATTTTACTGTTTCTTTTTCTTTAGATTTAGCCTAACTATTATAACACTACCAAAGAAAAATTCCTTTGATGTGTTTTAGGGATGGGTTGTGCAAATTTGGCCAATAGTTCCATTATCGTTTTAAATTCAATTAAATTGCAAGGCCACCGTCAGTATATATTTCTATTGTTAATTTCAGACTGAGAGGCAGTTGGTAAATGTTCCCTTTTCTACCTCTATTGATGTATCAGGAAATTGTAGTTCCAAGAAGAAGCAAGATATGACGCTTTCCTTCTATGACAACTGGCATTTAAAGTACTGACTTTTGTAAATTAACAAACACAATTATCAAGAAATTTTCCAAAAAAAAAAATGAAACTGTCTCACATCTAATAAGTAATAACATATTGGAATATCAACAATATAATTAAACTTGTTGTTTAAGAATTAATAACACAAACTTTTTTTCAGAAATCAGCAATATTTTTCATAGATATATATATTCAAATAAGTAACCTGAATAATGTTTACTAGGTAAAATCAGAGAATTTTGAAATATTTTGTCACAATGTTAAAAATATATGCAAAATTTTGTGTAGAATTACATAGAAAACAAAACAAGGTTGCATATTTAAGCACCAAAGAACACTTACGATTTCTTATTATTTTAGGGATTTATTATTTATGTCATTTCTATTCAAAATCAGTCAAAAAATATACATCAATCCAGGCATCAAATTTTTGTTTGTGTTATACCGGTATATCCTAAAGACACCTATATGTACTTATCACAATGTTCATCATATTGCTCCATTACACTAAAGGGACAGTTGAGAGCAATATGTCCCTTTGACGTGGTAAATATTTTTTTTCTTTTATACGCATAACATTATGTCATCTGTATAAGCATTCTTTTCATGTCAAATGGATATGTATAATCAGATAAATGAATTCCCTTACTTTAGTCGCCAAATTTAATTCCGAGATTTCAGCCATTTGAATTTACCGTTTATTGAAGCCAGATATGTAGTCTTCTTGTTGTGAATACATGTAAATATTTGTAAAGAACATTGTTCTCCAAGCGAGGCCTCATGTTTACCTCAAGACAAATCTGTTTAGTGTATAGTTGAAGATGGTTGCACAGATCAGTATAACTTAATGTTGACTCCTAAATAGGAATTCCTCAGCTGTAAAAAGTTAAAGAAATGTCAAAAAAATGTTTTATTACATACATTATATAGAGATATCAATTTGACACAGTGCTGGGCTAAAATTAGTAACAATTTATCACTCTTATGCTTAGCTTACTATTTAGAATTATTTAGAATTGAAAAAAAGGAGTATTGGTGCTTTCTTTTATAGCAATTGGCTTTTATCATGTTTATTGAAAACATTCCTCTAGTCATATTAACTGTAACCTACATGTAGTTTGGAAATATATTAAAGCCACAAATCATTTTACATACAGGTTCGTGTTTGAATCTACGTCTTCAAGTGGAGCAACACCAGACAGTGCTATTCTTGGTTATAAACTGAGCAAAATATCCATGACTTATTTCCGATCCCCTCTGATCTTCTACAATCCAAAAGAAAAGTCTACAGGTATGGTGAAATGTTTGTAATATTTTTCATTATATAATTATACGTATGTATCACAAGAGAACAACCATGGTGCAGGCCACACTATTATCAATGGTTATAATAATTTTCATAACTGGAAGTATAAAAGCAGGTTATGTTTTCTTACACTGAAACTTTCTAAAGAATTTCGAAGGTATTGTTCTTGTCCTCATTTGTCTGTCTCTGCGTCCGTCCTTCAAACTTTCTTTTCCTCGCTTCATCTTCTAAATTCTAGAGATAGTCAAAAAAAAGTCTTCTACATATGCTTCGCCTGGTCTTGTAGAGGCTTTTTTGATGAAAAAAAAAACAAACAAAACAAAAACAAAAGTTTTGAAATTTGGATCCAGAGGTCTCCAAGGGCCTTAAAACGTGTGATTCAAATCCTAAGCTTTTCATTTGAACTCTTATATTTAAGAATGGCAGTAACTAAATTTTTCCATCGATTTGGCATATCATGTAGACATGCGATAAAGTATCGGAATTGTATTTCTGTCACGGGGTTATCTGAGGGCTCAAATAAATGTGATTCCTTATGACAGCTTGTACAAAATGGATATAAAGTATTCGATTCTGTTTTCGAATAATGAATCTCAGGATGGAGATGTGCAAGGAGGTTCTGAATAATCAAGTGACTTTTTTCTGGATAAGCGATAAAAAATAAATTCAATGTTAAAATTTAGTTTTTTTGTTTTTGTTTTTATATATGTTAAACTATTTAAGCATCCCCCCCCCCCCCCAGAAAGCTGTTATACCGGTATCTCTCGATCAGTCTTACAAAAGTGTACTTTTTCGGATGAGTGTTTTGAAAGATATGTTGTACCACATCCATTCTCATGTAATATATGGAAGTTCCACAATGTTGTGTGTTAGGATAGATACTATCGATCATGTTTAGATATGCATTTGACCTAAACTCCTTCGAAATTGGAAAGGTGCAAAGATAGAAATTCCAGAAAATTATTGCACATATACATTACATACTCAGTTAATGCAAGATATAAGAAAAATACATCAAAGTTTTCTTTGGAAAGGGCGCGTATATTAATAATCCAACTTGTAAAGATAGTCGCATTGGGGGACACATACATGTACGACCAATTACCGTATGTTTTTCTAAGAAGGAAATTCTTCAGAAATCACACTTTTAAATATTATTATTATTTCCAACAACCAAATTTTTTTGGATTTTTTTAGAAAACTTACAAAATTTTACCAAATTATTAAAATCAAAATGTACGACTTTTCAACACTTTATACAACCAATCCCCACGATAATTAAAGACCAGCAGACTTTTGGACATCACAGACAACTGCTTCTTCAATAAAAGGAACTCGTAAATTTGCATAGCTTATCATTGTTCAGTTACAAATTTATTTTGTTAAAAAACATTCTCATTCTATATACAAGTACCCAGAGAATGATATTAAAAAGATGCTTGAGGTCCCATTGACGATATCTGTGAAGTTTTCCGAATTTCGCAGAACATATCTTCCAACAATTTGTTGGAATTCCCATGGGTATACTAATATTGTGCCCCGTTATTAGCAGACTTGTTTTTTGTATTAATATGAAACAGAATTTATTCAAAACCTTCTACATGAAAAGAACAAGTCACTTGCTGTAGCCTTCAATTCGAGATTTAGATCACTTTAATTCCTACGCTGATTCGATATATCTCCTTAAACTCGAAATAAGACACCACAGAGTATGGCACGTCTGTTTCATATATATGTGTTTCCAGAGAAAAATATTGAATGACAAACTGACAACTACAACTTTATGATGAACATGATGACTTCAATCGTCAGCTTCCCTTATCTGTGCAGCAATATACCATTATCATCCACATATGGAGTTTTTGTCTCCCAGTTGATTCGATAAGCAAGATTTAAACAACGCAAATTACATAATTATATGAGCAAAGTCAACACAGACCTCTGAAAACAGAAAACAGCTCTGGAAGAGCAAGCATGCACTGTCGACAAGTCACATCCGCGGTGTACTCCTTGTCATGATCGGATAAATGGAAAAGTCCGTACACAATTCAGTGTGAAAAGAAGATAACGAACGTTGTTTCATCAACTTATTTGTCAATACCTTGCCCTATTTTAGATATTTTAGAAATTAGACTTTTGAGAATAATCACTCTTCTTTATCTCCACATTTCATGAAGCATGTGATAAACAGTTTACAGCTTAAGTATCACGACAATTAGCTTTTTTAGCATTCTGCAAAGATATTTGACCACAGCACCTGGAGAGTGCCAGAACGAAGAATATGATATTGAACCTATTATTGCACATCCACGTGATTTGCCAAATAAAATGAATTTCTTCTGCTATATAAATTGTAGGAGGAGATTTAATGACAAGCTTAATTTTTGGTCCGCGTGCATTTTGAGCTCACTGGGGATCCCTGGCCAAAATCTTTCTTTTTACAGAGGAGGGTCTTTTGGGGAGGCGTATTCTATAGTAATGCACAATAATCAAATTTCAAAAATTTTCCCGCGCTAAATTGAAAAGCTACAGCTTTAAATCTAAAAAAAAAAAGTTATGTTGGACGATTGAGACAATCTTCAGTTTATTCCTTTTTATTAGGTCAGACTGTATCTGTATCAAGCAAGTCCTTCGAAACGCCGCTTAAGGCCAGAGCAAGAGGGAGCTATAAGTGTGATGATACTATTAAAGTAACATTGACTGATGGTGTTATATTGGAGGCCGGAAATCTGCGCTTCCAAGCATTCCAGAAGAGCAACTCAGAAAATTTTTCGAGAGGTGGGTAATAGCAAGGTTTACATTTGATAAAATTTTCATGCAGTCAAAAATTGCGCGGCAATCCTCAAACAAAGTAAAACACTGATGAGAAGTTTTGCAATGTTAATTTTATTATAACTAGTATCCAGATTTTGAAAAAAGAAACATTTTTCGAATATAGTCAAATTTTGAAATTTACAACACTCCCAAACTCAGTAAAATTCAATTCTTTTGTACAACATGGAGTTAACCATTTAAAGAATGGGATATTTATGGCATGTCAAACGTTGCAGTGTTCAATCTTTTTCATTTGGTATTGAATAGTTAATTTGTATAATATTTCTTATTTATATTCTATATTTCCTATATGAATTGTATGATTCCTATTTTATTGTATACGATTTTTTTTTTTGTATTTTTTCAAAACAAATTGACAATTTTGGAATATAAATGATAAAATTATAAATACAAATAATGAATATAGATTATGAAATATCTAATACATATAGAAAATTTATAGAAAACAAATGAAAAATATTGAATATTACAGTGTTTTACATTCTATACCTACTGTAGTATACATGTATTTTTTTTTCTTTCAGATGTAAGTACGTGTAATTCACCCGCGAAGGAGGAAAAACGTTATGCCGTTTACATCATCATTGGATTGGCTATCGTGGCAGTTTTCGCGCTTATCGTCATTGTTTTTGTCGTCTCGTCAAAAGCGAAACAACGAAACTATGAGAAAATGAATTAATAATTAGGGCGGGAAGATCAGTGGCATATTAGACTATCTGTGACAAGGTCTCAATTTTTCTCTTCTTTTTTAGAACCATTTTCAATAGAACTGGCTCAAAAATGTAAAAATAGGTAGTCTTGCTTCTTAAAATACTACTCTGCAATTTGAAAATACTGGTAGGTTTGGCTATTTCAAGTGATATTGAAATATTTTAGAGTTCACTGGTTCCTGCAAAGCCAGGTTTTTGTTTTAGCTATACATGTTGGGTTCAAATGTTGGCATATATACACTTTTTTTAAATCGTATAAAATACAAAAAAATGAAATAATAAACACCTTTTTTCCAACAAACATGGTTTAGTGAATAAGAGGTTAAAATGCATTCATGTATGTTTTCAATGCCCCCTCTCCGTCTCATTTTAGTTCCAATAGCATTCAACGATTTTTCAAAATTAATTTTGACTAAAGATCAATTAATATATTATCTTTATAGTGAAATTAAGGTTTCAATCAAGCACGTCAACCTCGTAACATACCGGTAATCTTTGGTTAGTATCTTCTGTTCATAATAATATAATCTTTATTGGCCAAGACATACATCTTATAGCATTGAGTTAACAAACATCAAAAGATGAAGGTTGTGTGGCATATATAAACATATGTAGTATATAATGTAAAATTGTAACAGACTTTAGTAATATACAGTTTGACCATATATACATTAGACAGAAAATGATTTTGTGACACTTTCACGTACTTCAAAAGCACGTTTGAGGTAAATACCTAAATTGCACAGTTCTTTAAAAAATTTTACACTGAGTAGTTGTATTAACTTAAAAACTGAAGGTTTTTTTCAGTAATATTTCTTAATATATCGACATCTAATATCACTAAACTGAGGGCATTTTAAAATAAAATGAAATTCATCCTCAATGTCTAAATGGCACATTTCACAATATCTGTTATTTACTGGTATGTTATTGTGACGACCATATTCAATAGCTAGGTTATGGGATGACATACGTATTTTGCTTAATTGCTTCTTATATTTGATTGGAATAGCTTTTGTTCAGTAATATTGGAGAGAGAAATTATCAATGATATGCTTTAAAAATTTTGCATCTTGATGAAAAATTTATTTGCTCGAAACTCGTTGTGTTCTTTGTGGTGTATCTTTCATTTTGTTAAAAACGATGGCAAATTTGCAGAGTATCTTTCTTTTGAGTCAAATCTAAACAAATATATGTTCAAAACGTAGTATAATCATTTTTTTTCTTCTACTTACATCTACATACTCTAATTGTATACGACATAAATAAAGTTTGAAACTAAATATCACAATCACATCTTACTTACTGTATTCCATCATCCTTTTAGAAGTATTTCTGTTATTTAGCTCAGAATCTTTTCTTGTCATGGTCTTGTAAATTGATCAGTTGCAGCGTTTCTTTACCATCATTATTTGTAAGTTACGAAGATCTGTTGGTTAAAATATCATTTATAATTAGAGCCAACATATGTATTCTAAATCAATCACACAAATTTTAAAGTTTTATTGAGCAAATTTTGAAACATGTATATTAGACTCATTTTAACAAGACTGTTTAAATAAATATTTTTTTTTCAAGGGTGCATTTTTTTTGCCCCCGTAATCGAAGATTCGGTGGCACATGGTTTTTTTGGTCTCTCCGTCCGTCTGTATTTTTGTCAGCAAAAACTTTAACCTTGCCCATAACTTTTGAATAGTCGGTGCTAAGGTTTTCATATTTCACATGTGCATTCCTTGTGACAATAGCCTTTTTTTTAGTATTTTTTTAGTATTTTAAATTTACCAAATTTTAACCTTGGCCATAACTTTCGAACGGTTGGAGCTACACTTTTATATTTCACAGATGCATTCCATGTGTGCAAACCTTCCTTTAGTTACCAACATTTTTTACCTTGAGCTTTAAATTTGACCAAATTTTGAAAAACTTTAACCTTGACCTTAACTTTTAAACGGTCGGTGTTAGGAATTTCAAAATATCGCGTGTATTCCTTGTGACCTTTCCTTTAAGTACCATTATTTTTTTACCTCTTGACATTGACCTAGGAATATGTCCTACTTTGTGAGAAAAAAAACTTGAACCTTGGCCATATTTTCGGGATGGTTGATACTAGGACCATTATATTTCACATTAGTGTTCCTTGTGACAAAACCTTTCTTTGGGTATCAACATTTTTGAACTCTTGACCTTGGAGTTTGACCTACATTTGAAAAACTTTAACCTTGGCCTTGAGCTTCCATACAGGGCATCGGTGTTTCCCAAACACATATCGTTCGTTTTGTGTTTATACAGGTGTATATACATGCTTGTATCATTCAATGATTCACAAGTATGATATCACTTACTAGTAATTGATATGTCTTGTACAGAATCAATGGTTTCCGAATTATCTACTTTTTTATCAACAATATTTCTCAAGGGCCATTATATACTGTACCAGGTTTAAAAGAAACATGACTATTAGAGACAGACAATACAAACTTTTCTCAAGAATCTTGAAAATAACAACTCCAGTCATGTTTATAAAAGTAAAATAAATAAATTTAATTGCTGTTTTTAACTTTTCGTTAAAAGTTTCACAATAATGGGATTTAAAGTGACAAAAAAGTTGGGTAGATTAATAAAGAAGGTTGCAGAGAGGTAGATTTCTGAACATAAATAAAGTTTACAATTTCTAAATATTTTAGAAATTTATTTGCATCACTTAAAACCAAAATATATCCAAAAATATATACCAATCCAGACATATATTTTTGGTTTTCTTTATCTGTCCTTAAATACATGTAACAGTAGTACCCTTATCTGCTGCAAATATCACAATCAATCCTTTTCTTGTATGTATTGCACAAAGTTCTATTTCTTTTCATGTTGCCTTATTTTATTGTACTTTGAGATGCAGGTAAATACTTCGAAATTATCTCAAATACTGTGGAATCATCATTCATGGGATACCAATGTTTGTGGATTTCGCAAGTTATCCTTACCCATGAATTTACATCCCTAAGAAATATTGTTAACTACAGTTCATTGAATCCTCTGTATGAACAAAGTTTCCCACTAAATAATGCCCCCATGAGTAAGATCTCGAGTGCCTATAAAAATTGACACCCCCCCCCCCCCAAAAAAAAAGTAAAATGATTCCAGTAAGCAGTAGAAAATAACTAAAGATGTTCTACTTAACTAGCAACTGAATGATTCATAGCTTAGTTGTCCTTATTTAAATGCTAAGCTACTTTTCATTATTTAATAACTCTAATGTTACACTCATTTATCTACAAATGGATAAATCATTTTCAGGCATCACTCTAACCCTAGGAATATTGAATTCTTTATTTACTTGTAAATAAATATATAAAATATTGTAAATTATGCTACACTGTTTACTGATAATGAAAAATACATGTACATGTAACATTTTAAAAATCAAAAATTTTGTGCTGCCTCTGAAATGGACTATAAAATATTAATTTTACTGTGGAACATTGCATTTTATATTAAATGCTATATGACAGGATCGATTTGAAATTATCTCAATTTGAGCCATTTGACTGTTTAATGATACTTGATGCATTATAATTTGTTGGAGTATTTCATTCTGGTACAAACAATATACATGTATATCTTTTAAATTTGAGAATTAAGCAATGAGACATCTATGCCTACTGTCCTATATTCTTCTTTGGTATTCCTTGCACAGCACTCCTCATATCACTTAGACAATAAAAATCCATCTTGAGAATAAATTATCAACAGAACCAATGTCATTCAACAACAGTGAACACGAGAATGCTTCCATCAACTATGTCCCTTTAAGAATTCATGTTGTAGAGCCTGGTCTGCTGTGATTCTTGTGAAAGGGTTCATGTCCAAGAGCTTCTTCAGTAAATCAAAAGCCGAGTCTGGAACGCCAGACCAGGAAGTGAAGGCATCATTTTCTTTATCACCGAGACTGTCCCTCTGTGAAGCATTGTGTCTTGCTGCTGGACCCTCTCGAAGTTTAGTGCACAGAACTTTCAGGTCTACAGGTTTATTACCGGGGTGACACATCAAATGTTTACCTATGAACAAAAATAGATCATTTTCAGTCTCCCTTATTTAAACGATCTAATGGATTAGGCCATAAAAAATTAATAGTTTTGCAGGCCAAAAATTTCAAAATTCAATGCGGCAGGCAGGTTTGTTTGTTTTTTTTGTTTTTTTTTTTTTAAATAGGTATCTTTTTTCATGTCAGTCGTTCAACAAAATGATGATATTAACTGATTCTCACTTTTTTGTCCTCTTAATATACTAATTATAATGTACTCAACTTTAAATTACGTTATTCTAAACATTTCTTTAAAAGTTAATTAATAAAGGACTGTATAGACTAGAAGAATATTGTTTATCTAATAAAAACCTATTGTTATGAAAAGGGAAATAACTCAATTTTCTTTTTCAACTTGGAAAAATAGAAAATTGAATTATTTCACTTTTCAAAATGTCAATAAAATTGATCAATGCGGCCGTTTTTGACCTGATGCGGCGGTGCCTGAGAAACTATTGATTAATTTTTTTTGACCTTGCAAAAGAAACAATTTAGTACAAGTTTTATTAGAAAATTTCTGTATACACCATCTCTAAAAATATTTATATCTTGTATTGAAATTTCTGTAAATGCATCTCTGATATATATGTTTTAAAAAAACTCAAAATACTACATTTACAAACCATATGCCTTGGCAGATTCACTGACTTCCTCACTGCCCATGATGCTTATGATCTGTGCTAGTGCTGTCATGTCGTCATTGGCTCGGAAAAATGGATAGCGTCCGCTCAAAAGGGACAGGAAAATCACTCCAGCTGACCATATATCAACAGCTGCAATTATATATGATAAATAACTCAGTATTTTATGCTTCTTGTATTTGAATATATAGCATTTTTTACTATATTTTATATATTGGAACCACCAACAAATTACAAATTTTACCTGTAGTTTGGTCAGGAAATTTCATCAAGACTTCTGGAGCTCTAAAACCAGGCGTCCCTGCCCTCGGTGCCTGCTGATTCATTCTATGGCACAAGAAAAACAACTTAATAAAAAGAATTCAAAACGACATAAAATTGGCATTGACATGAAAAGTAATAAATGCACTTAAGTGTGTGTGTGTGTGGGGGGGGGTCTTTAAAAAAAAACGGGGACATAAGGCTAAAATGCAAATGACCTTGACTATAAAGAAATCTAATATTAAGATCGAATTGTGAAAAATTTGCCAAATGTACCTTTTTAACCAAATTTCTTTGCCTGCTCATCATTTCCAGGTGAAGCGAAGATAATACACAACCTTTTTGTGCAGGAATTGAACACACACAAAAAGTCTTTTTATAGATGCACTTATCAATCTTTTTTTTTTTTAAATATCCAGTATTAACCAGTACTTGGTGCCCTACAGCCTCTATGAATTTGTTACACAATGATCATGCATCACTTGATTTTTTTCTTCCGTAAAGTCATCAAGAAATCTGAATTTTATGCTGGATTAGGCCTCATCTCAAAAATATTTTTTTTAACTGATACATCAAGTAAATTTTTAATTTTTAAGTGTCCAACCAAATCATTTCCCTTGCCTTATTCACTCATATTCTTTACTGTAGAACATACAGCAACAACAAAACAAAGAAAATGCTTCTTATAATGTAATAAAAAAAATGATTCTTTCTTGTGATGCCTGGGACTTCTTGGTGTTTATCTTTTAAATTACAAGTTACTGATCACAGTAAACTACATGTATGTGTGCTATTCTAGAATCAATACATTCCCAAAATCAACAAAATACAGTATAATTACATCTTGTCCTATTTTCAGTTTACCTTGCATTACAAATACTGCAGACTTGGGGTTTTCCAAAGCAGTCACACGTGGACAGCACTGCACTTGGCTTTGCACCCTTTTCATGGTCACTGGGTTTATTTTTAGCCATAAGTGCTCTTTTGGCTAATAAGACCCTTCGGGGAGACTTCACTCGTCTTGCAAATGTAGAATTCTCTAATTCTGGAGTAACATAACTTTGTGATTTTTTGCCCGCTGCTATTTTCTGAAAATTGATAAACTCTATCATATGAAAGATATATGTATATTCAAGCACATCCAAATATAGAAATTGTCAAACTACCAATTATACAAATATAGCCCTTTAAAAGGTTGATCCATAGATATATCGACTTTACACAAAAGCATATCGACTGAGCCTGAAGTGTGAAGTCAGTATGCTTTTCTGTGAAGTCTATAAATCTATGGATTGACGGAATCAAAGGGCTATACTAGTATCTGTTATATCATTTTCTTTGGATAAAATAAGAATAGACAAATTCATTAAATTAGAATGTAAGCTTTTTAAAAGACTTTTCACCATTGTGTACACATTTATGGATTTTCCCAAGTTATTTTTATTAACTCAAGTCAATATCGTAAAATATAATTTTGCACGTGATATCAAGCAACCAATACAAACCTGTTTATTTTGTTGTGAAGATGAGGTAGGAGATAATGGATTTCTTGTAGTTCTGCCTG